CGATGTGAGCTTGCAAAATGAGGCATGCGAAGGCCTTGAAGCCTCTCTTTGCCGGCAAGGCCGCTTGGCTGAGTTTGCAGGGCCCGGCATAGCCTGGGCCCTCCCTAAGGAAGGGGACGTGTCAAAGTCCGGACACCTAATCCCTCTAAGGATATGGAAAGAACGACGAATGCCTTTGGTCGCATTCCCTGCGAGATGCTCCGTTTGCTTATGCTGCCGAGCAAAGCCCTCATGACCTTAGCCACCTGGCGATTCAACAGGCATTTTTGAGTTTTGAAGTTGTTCTGCCACTTGACAAGACATTCGGGGGCTCCTTTAAACTTTTATGGTTTGCCTTCTGGGGTTGACGGGGTGCACACCGCGGAGGCTAGTCTTAAGAACTGACAAGTGCGAAAACATGTGGTTGCAAGCGTTGACCGCGCTTGATACCTGACGGATGCCGCTTATTTGACCAAACTGTGGATTCAGGCAAGGCAAGCCTATTGTATTCAGCTACATCCGTCTTCCAGCAGTGTTCCTTAGCCCTTTGGAGCCCAGCCAACTATCGACCACAGCACGTCCATCATCACCACGGGCGGGGGGGGGGGGGGAGCTTGGGGAGTTCATGGTTGGGTTTGAGGAGTTCCCCTGAAGCCCAAATCTTTCTCTTGAGAGGAGACCTTGAGCCTCGCGCTGCGACACGTGGACTATGGTGCCAAACGGGAGCACAATGAGGCCACGAGCCATCCCTGGCTTCACTTGAGTCGCAGGTTGGTTTCTGTTTAGCTTATAAGCTTCTTGCGACATGAAAAATTGCATCTCTCAATGGGGCTGCAAGTTCGCTGCCCGAGCCACTCGTGGCATCCAGGTGTTCGGCAACAGCTTCCTGCGTGCACTCTCGCAGTTCCTCATCCGAGAGGGCGGAGTTTGGGATTCCGACATCTCTGACGGCTGGGCCTGGGTCTACACCACCTTCAGTGGCGTGCCAAAGTCAGTGCGTTCCGGAGCGAGTGACTTTCAAAGGTCTACAGTGTGGCCCAGGCCGAAGGCTTTGAGGAGGAATTCCTAAAGAAGCGTACAACGTAACCTCGTCTGGTGTCCCTACTTTGCTCCATCCACTCCCTCCGCTCAGGCGATGAGTTGCTCAGAGCCTTGGAAACGGCAGCTTCGACAGGGTTTAAGGTTTGAGGGACTTTGGAGAGTTTCGGGTTGTGGATGAATTGCCAATCCATGTTTCTTAGACAAGCCTTTGGGTCTGGAGGCTCTGGAATGCTTCGGATATGGAAGGTTTCGGAAGACCTCTGCATGTCTCGCTGGCGTGTTCGCGCAAAGGGTGGCAACACGAGTAGTAGGTGGGCATGGGTCTCTTTCTTTAAAAGGATTTAGAGGAGGAAGCAATTTCTCACTTCTAAGGGAGATCTTTTGCATCCAAGTACGACCTCAAGCCTGACGCCTCCTGAAAAGACAAGCACCGGTGCCCTCAAGAGGCCCAGGTAGTAGCAGAAGGCTGCTGGGGTCAACCATGCGAGGGCTACTTGTCCATTAGGCTTAGCGGCTTGGCGTTCTGAATCGTTTCTGAAGCCAACGCCCGCCCCAGGAAGTTTTGAGACACGCGAGGGTTGGACCCGGGCAAGCTTGAAGGAGATCCAAGTAAGTAGGCCTCAACCTGATCCTGCAATGATTGCTGACGATGTGTTACACGACGTATGTTTTAAGTTGTTCACTTGAAAACACTTCAAAGATAATCTCTGCTTCGGAGAGAACCTCTGCTTACGCACTTAGCCCTGAGCCCCTAACTGCCTGGAATGCCCCCCAGAAAGCCTTAAACCAAGAGCCCCTGAACCGGTGAGCAAAGGTGAGGCCGAAGGTGGAAGCCGTGCGAAGCTCCTGGAATCCTGGCAAAGAGTGCGGAGTTCTCGAACTTGGGGGGGGGGAGGGGGGGGGGGGGGGGGGGGGGGGGGGGGGAGGGGGGGGGGGGGGGGGGGGGGGGGATGCTTCATCTCTGCCATCAACCGAAACCCTTGATTCGGAGGCCTTCTTCAGTGAGTCCCCATGTTGCATCCCTTTGTGTTGAAGGATTCCGCTGCATTGGATTGCAGAGAGAGCTTGAGCTTGCGGGTTAGATGAGTTTTAAGGGTTGAACTTCTGGCTCTGGGGTTTGGGTAAGCTCAGGTTGAGCTGGGGCGTGTGCTTGAGCTCGCGCATGGTTGAGGGGCGTTCTTGTTCATCTCTCAGGCCAAACCGAACCCTTGCGTCTGCCTTCTCTGGCATGCCGCCTAGGAACCAAATCATCACCAAGACACTGATGCAATCTGAGCAGCTCAGCGGCATAGGTCCCAGCGCTTGGAAGCACCAGTCAACGCACTGTCTCTCCATGAGGTGGAACCCAAGGGCAGGGTTAGCATATGATTAAGATTTGTTATGGGCCAGTATATTTCGCGGCCCGTGAACAGCATCAAAACTTTTACACTTTCCACCTCAAAACTATTACACTTTCCACCTCTTTCACCGGACACCTTTCGCCCTTGTCATCACTACAAAGAATCCGAACAGACCACATAACCTCTGTCTCTAGAAGTCAATCTGTTGAGTCGTGAAGGTGTGAGGGTGACAGGGGCTTTATGTTGTGGCTCGTGTTCATAGGCCCTGTTCCTCTTCATCATCACCATCATCATCATCATGACTATTATGAAGCCTTAGATTTAGTACTGTTGTAGCATGAGTGAGTGAATTAATACTATTACAATGCACGGGTCTTTGGGAGATTCAGGGAGGTTGCTTAGTAGCTTGGAAGCAGAGGTTGTTTCACACCTAGGCCCACCAACCCTGGCCTTAACTCAGCAGCTACACTGTACTGTGTGAACGGAATGAAAGAAGTGAGCTAGTTCGCACAGCAAGAGCCCACCAAAATGAACTCTTTTTCGGGCTCTTGGACTCACTTCGTTCATGCTATTGCATGAGTATATCATTATCGCGGCCCTTTTCTCTCTGATGGACCGCATAGTGAACGAACGAAGTCAATGAGATAAAGAACACAATAGTTAATAAAAATGTATCTCCAGCAAAAATTCATATTGGCGTTCGCTCGCGCACTGCAATACATTAGTATTATAACTAGCGAGCGATAAAACCCCTTTGAATTAGAGATTACGTGTCGTGAAAGAACTAACTCACTTGGGAGATTCTCAGTACGCTCACTTAATCGCTTCGCTCATGCATGTCGCTAGCACATTTTGAATAGTAATACCAATAAGGGCCATGAGCATAATCCTATTTCATGCGGCCCTACATGTAACTTCGCTTTGAGAACCCTGAAAAATTCCAGAAGTTCTATTCTTTGGAAGACTACATCAGTAAGCACAATGGATGGGAGTCCTCCTGACAAACATGAAGACTCCAACTAAGTCAAGCAAGTCGAGAAAAGCACGAAGGTGTCGCGAACCCTGTGAGGCTTGCTGCCACGCAGACCAGCTCCACCGGATAAAGCTCACAGGGCTCGTGACACAAGACTGCCAGCACTACGAAGACCCAAAGCACTCAAACCGACGGGTGCACTAGCATATGCTGAGTACGTGAGTATTCTGTGCTGAAGAAACACAGTGGCAGCGACAACTCGCAGTGGTGCTTCCTTCTTCTGAGATCAGGCTTTCTAGCGACTCGCGCATCTCCGGTTCCGGCCGGCGGCACAGCGTCAGCGGACGCACGCTGGCGAGCATCCATGGGACCTTGCACATTTCAGGGCTACCCCTCACTGGCAAAGGGGTAAGGGGGCAAGGTTGTGGACCGTCCGAATAGTATCATTGCGCAGTTTTGATCTCGTCGCAAATGCTGCGAGCCCATGGAGTCATTGTGCATCTTTCCAAGATGTCCCAATGTCTGCAAACCTCTTCGAAGCCACATGTCCCCGCAAAGAAGTCGGAGGACCCGAGTGATGGTGAACGGAGGAAGTGGCAGCCTTAGAAGTCTCTTCGATCACTTCTCTTGGCTCAACAGGTGCCAGCTTTCCACGTAGTGATAAGGGCCGCCAAATCCACGTGAGAACATGCTTCGTTGTCGGGTGGCGTGGGGCATATTTCTGTAGGCAGCCCGTTTTGCGCCAGCTACCTGCAGGCAGCACCAAGCATGCCAAGAAGCGCAACATGCTGAACGCCGAAATGGTCGAGGAAGATGGAGCTGAGACTTGCTCGGAACTCGCAGTCGACCTTTTTGCATCGTGTAATGGCCCTGGAAGTTGAGTAGGCCTCACTGGCCTCGTTAGATTGGGGCGGCCAAGTGTTCTGAGATTCGGCATCAAGCATCATCAAGCAGTGTCAAGCGCTTCAAATGGTTTTTGCTCTGGCTTGATGATTCCTGGAGCCATTGCATGGATGCTTGTCTCAACCAGGATGGGCATCAGCGCGCAGTGGTTTCTGTTGGGGCGGCTATGGCCCAACGGCTTCAGGTGCCGAGTTGGGGTGGTCTCGGAGCTTTAGAGGATGTAGGCTTCCAGCCTTCTATCTTGCCGAGGTGCACGGGAGAATGCAAACAGGCGTCGGCAGTATGAACCGCGCGAAGAATACGTCAGCACTTGCACTCCCTCTTAGGGCACCTGCATGCATACGTAGACGTGGTACGCAAAGCCTGCAGGTGTACCGAAGGCACTGCGTAGCGAACTTGGAACATAATCATCCCCACCTCCACTGCACGGCGCCGCTCCCTGCGAGGAGGGTATGGCCCAGTCAAAAGAGCAAGCAAAGTTCGTGGCACCGGCGCAGTTTGCAGCATTCGCTGCTTCGACTTGTTGCAATTGATCAAGTGTGCAGTGTCAAGCCGTACTCCGAATGAATCAGGAGCTCCATGAAGGCCATGCCCACCACACCTATATCATACAGCACCTACCTGTTAGATCCTGCGATTAGCAGCATTCCTGTCGAGTGCTTTGCTCGGAAGGTTTTAAGATCAAGCATGCCTTGATCCATAGTTGGTTAGCAGTTTGCACACACACCTAACACTAACACCAACACTAACACTAACACTAACACTAACACTAACACTAGCACTAACACTAACACTAACACTAACACCAACCAACAAACCAACAAACCAACCAACCACACACTCCAGGCATGGAGCGAGAAGCATGGACAGAAGCTGGGCACTGCGCTGGTGCGTCTCTCAGCTTCGGGCGTTCGGGTGTTCAGCACGGGGGCGTTGGGTCTTAAGAGCCTTGAGTCGTTCCCGAGCCTGTATACACCTAGGAAGATTGTACCTGGTCCACCATCGGCATGCCCCTTCCGAAGGGTGCCCTGAAAATACCAATCAACGAATGTACCTTCACTCACAACACCAGAGGAAACAAATGGCATGTGGGGGGTTTCCGAAAATAAAGGACCCCTAACATCAAAAACCAAAAACCATATGCCCCTACCTGACTGATACTAACCCTGAACATTAAACCCCCCTATTCTGCTGAGGAGCTCGTCGTGTCCACAGCCACACGGCCCAAGGAGCTCGAGAGGCCAACAGCATGCAGAACTCCATTGGGGGCGAAGGGGGGCGGGGAAGCATCGTGTAAGGTTCCTGGTATGCATCTTGTTTTGGTCGAGTCATGCGACTGCCAGCTGGCAGGCACTTGTTCAAGCTTGCCCAACGCTTCTTGAGCTGCAACTAGTCCTTTCAGGGTTGAGTGCGCCAAGAGAGTGCTGCGTTTGGACAATCAAGCGGCCGTGAGGACAGACTCATGACTTTCCGTAAGCCTTGCTCAGTGTCCACAGGCTAATGGTGTTTTCCTGTCTGTTTTGCAGTGCGAGGGCTCTTAGCTGAGAGAGTGGCTGGTTTGCAAGTTGTGTATTCTGTTGCTGTTCTGGGTTCAGACGGGGTTCAGATTCCATTCTTAACCGGGATACCAACAACCAACAACCTCAAGGCCTCAGGGAAACATTCTTTCACATAAGCCATTCCTGTAGGATTTTGTAGAACCCCGCCAAGTCTCATAATGAAGTAATGGCCACAGACCTTCTGAGGTCTCCACGCTTGGAACTTGCTTGTGCAAAACCTGCCCCGTAAATGATGGGCAATGACGGGCATGCTGGGGAAGTTCCTAAAAAGGGAAATGAACAGTTCGCGCGCTTTGTCTTTTATTATTAGTGGGGCACGCGATATGAAAGGGTTACGTTACTCCGAAAAGCCTGTGACTCTATTGCGGAAAAGGCCAATAATTCGCAGAGCTTGGAAGAACACTGTTTTCTCGCTCACATGCCAATAGACTGATTGTAACGAGTGAGCGAGAGGAGATGAGAAACAAAGAAAGCCACAAAAACATCCTTTGAAGCAGTAAAACAAAGATCTTTTGCCCAACCAGCAAGGATCGAACACCAAGAGCACTCTGCATCTCTTCTGGGACATTTTCCAAAGCTTTAGAAAAACGTTTTTTGGTTTGACGTCCAATAGAACGCAATCGCATGAGAAGGATTTCTCTAAACATGAGCTGAAACATCCCCATTTTCTTTTCCTCAGTCAAATGGGTTTGTGTTCGTCCACCTTTCCTCTCGTAAATGATCAACACGCGAAGAAGATTAGTAGTTTTCTATCAGAAACCAATTTTTCTGTCATCTCTTTCCTCTTTTCAATTTTCACCAGGTACAAAATGACTAGGAACAAAGGCCCGCGAAATACAAGCAGCAAAAACACCATGAAAAGCCCGTACGAGCTTATAGTTATAAAAAGAACTAAATGACATTTTGCACAAAGGCCCCCCAAATTGACAGTTTCCTGGGGTCTTAATATTAATGCTAGTTCTGGGTTTTCTTGTGCTTCTTCTTTCTCATGGTAAGTATTGGTGTCCTCGGTTATTGAATGATTACAAGGAAGAAAGCCCTTTAAGACTTCGAATTAGCTACAGGGTTCTCATTCTATTCACGTAGGCTCTTCCTGTCCTCAGATATTTGAAGATAGAAAGTTCCAGGATGTTATTCGTAATATTTCGCGTTCTTTGTAATGGTGGAAAGCCCCCTCAATACTGTTTCAGTCGCCACGTGAGGGGGCATTGAAGAGAAGGTGAGATCCGATGAGTCAAAATGTAGGTAGAATGGGGGGGGAAGGAAATAATGGGTCTTATTTCCCTGTGGTTTGCTCCCGTGGGCCCAAACAACCGCATCGGACAGGCTCGTCTTAGCTTGTCTTAGTGCCTATACAGACCAACGAACCTTGCCTGCCTTGTGCAAGAGTGAGCGACTAAACCCTAAACCCTAAACCCCCTTGCGGGCTTTAGCTCTCGGAGCATCCCAGGTCCCAGGGAGACTGGAGCTTGGGAGGGTTCTGCTTCTTTCCTTTTTGTGCTGTGAATGGAGGGCACTTTGAGTCATCAGAATGGCATAGGCCACCCTTCACATGGAGTATACGAATATTGTAAAGAGCAATCGAACGAATCACGAAAGCTAGCCCCTGGGAGCTAGCCGAGTTTCTTACCAACCATAAGGTTGAACAACAGGGGTATGGGGATAGAACCCAGCTGGGGTGCGTGCAAATTGGGCCTAAACCCCACTGGGATTCCGTGGCCAAGCCTTACCTTTTTGAGGTCCTGAACGGTACCTCGTCATCCCGAAAATTAATGCTTAGCCTTCGGGGCGCTTGGGCTAAGCGCCACTCTGGCTCAGGGTCGAAAAGCCGCTTTGCAATGGTTCTTCAAGACAGCGTCGAAACCATGTCACTACATCTCCAAGGGCAACGTCGAAACCATGCACGGGTGAGCTAAGTGCATATCCAACAGCAGCGTCGACACCATGGTGGGTTCAATGCTCAGGGGATCCTCTGGGGATACTGCAGTTAAGCACTCCAGGGATGATTTATTCTTTGGGGTGTAGTCCGGGTTGCACTCCAGGGGCTTCTCTGCAACCTGGGGAGTTTCTGGGGACGCTCTGGGGATGGGCACTCCAAGCTAAACACTTCAGGGATTCTCTGGTGATGCTCTGCACTCTGGGGTTCAGCTCTTAAGCCTGGACACTCCGATTATTCGGGGATACTGGTTGGGCACTCCAGGTGGGATACGGGGGAGTAGACCGGCCGTGCACCGGGTAGTCAGTGGCAGCTCTCACACTTGCCTTTTCGGTCAATGTTGTTATCCTGAGTGGCTTCTCGAGCAACTGCACTAGCTTTCTTTCCTGCCGTCCCCCACAAGTATAGCACTAGAATCATGTAAACGTGTAATAAGATAAGCACCAAGGTCATGTCGAGTTGGGGGTGAAACCGGCGCACCTCAAGGTCTTCGCCCGGTCCTCAGGCCTAACAACAGCGGTGCAAATGCCGCTGACTGCTCGGGCGTCAAATTCGTAGAACCGGAAGATCGCCAGCTGCGGTGCATGATGTTTGCACACCACAACCACCTGGAAGATCACGAGCTCAGGAGTCCTGTCTTTTGGACTTGCTGGAAGCCAGCCTGTCGGCAGCTGCTTTGGAGAATGCGCAGCCTGCCTGGAAGTGGCTTTGGGACATTGTGGAAAGAATCTCGGCAGCTCCTCAGAGCCAAGAGGTATTCTCATGAAGTCATGTTTCAGCATGGGGGGACATGAAGGGAACCCAGTGGCTTTGGGACCTCTGCCCTTATGGCCCGGTGGCTCCAAGCACCCTCCCAACATCCCAGCCCTCCGAAGACCGTGCCAGTCTGGACACTGGACTTGTCACCACAACACGGTGGACCGAACACCCTTCGAAGCATGTTTTGGCTTCGAAGTTCGTGCGTCGGAAGAAGCTTACTCCACTTGCCGTCAACTGGAACCACTGCACATGGATGGGTAACAGGCAACAAGTTACAGAGTATTGGGTGCCAAGAGCACTAGCGCCCAAGGCGCGGAAAGCCGTGCGGAGGCACCTAGAAGCAGAGCAAAATGAGGAAAGGCACGCCTGCAATTCCTCTCATGAAGGTGATGAACCTAGTCCACTCCAAGTTTTGAAGACAAGTGTGTGTGAGAGACTTTGAACAGGCGCTGGACTCCAGAGAAATTGTCGATTCCACGCTTTGCCGACGTGCCCAAAAAGAGCTTTATCCTTCCATTTCAGCGATGAGCGTGTACACTGTGTGTCCAGTAACTTCGCGCAAGATCATTAGCCAAGCGTGCTCCTCTCACCAAGGAGGGTAGGAGCCCATTGGAACAGGTTGGCGAAGCACGGGTTGTTAAGCCTGCAAGCCTTTGATTTCAGGAACCTTCGTGGATGTGCCGCTTGTTTGCATCACACCGTCTTACTTTTCAAGCATCAGGCCGGATACTGCAAGTGCCACCATGGCAAGCATATTGTCAAACAGCCGCACACAGCGACACCGTCATGATCCTGTAAACTTCACGGGCCTTCCTTCGCCCATGAGCCTTGTTATTGCTAAAGAGCTTAAAGCCCTACACGGCATTTCGCTGACCCTGACATGCCCTTGAGAAGATTGTCTGGACTTAGAAGCTTACAATTTCCAGCCAAAAATAGGCGATTACCGGAACAAAGCCAGATAGTATACTTGCACTTATCAACAATTGTCCTTGCACTTGTTTATATCGAGATTCAGATTCTCAACCTGAGAAGGTTTCGCACAGGCTGAATCGCCACAATGTAGCAAATTGGATTCACATGAGCGAAACTGCCACATACCAATGAAAAAACATCAATCATCTGCTTGGAAAGGTTTTTGGACAAGCTGCTGCGCAGTGTCACATCATCACCACCACCACCACCACCGCCACCATCATCATGATCATCATCATGGTACGCAGCAGTTTTTGCGCATTAGACCTGTCCAGCTTAGGGCTTCAAGGGCATTGTGCACAGCTTTCGGCTCCCTGACTCGCACACCCCTAGATTCCAGCGGCCTGCCCCGAAAACTGCCCTTCTCGGTGAGGCTCGCGAACTGGGAGACTATGCAGACATCGCTAACTGCATCCTGGGACGCCGTTGCGAAATACGAGGATACTGCAGCGACTGGTCTTCCTGTCATTGTGTGACCATGGCTGCTGTGACGCTGTTTTGCCATCATTCGTACCGGGTCCTGGACAAAGCTTTTTTAGGCTGAGCATGTGCTAACTCTCTCTCCGCTTTGAGAACCTCCGCGCTGAAAGCCGAATCCATCTTAAAAATCAGCCGAGGCAACAGGCGCATGTTAGACAGCCCTTGCTGTTGGCCAGACTTCCCCATAAGAAGGCAGCACTGGCCCTTGGATCCTTAGATGAAACTGTCAGACTCCAGAGCGGAGGTGAAGCTGGCAAGGTCCTTCCACAACACCCTGCACCTTGGGACTTTCTTCAGACTCCGGAGGTGTTTCGAGTGTGGGCATGCGGGTAGATGGGGGAAGCCGGAAGCATGAATCCCCAGAGGCGAGATGCTTGCAGGCCGAGGCCCGGTAGCTACTTGTGCGACGCCCAGAAGCTAAGGTTGGATCGCGTCATGGTCTTCCGCACCATGTTCAAGAAGCGGGATGTAGCTCGGCTGCACTAAGGCTTCGCCCTGCTGTCGCGCCCACTGACCCAAAGCCTTGTTCGTTCCGAGATCCTACACCTGAGCTAAAGAAGCCCCACTGAGCCAGTTGCCGCATGGTTCTTGTTGGTCCCTGGTTTGCTTGCAGAGTTGGGATCTTGTCTTGGAACCAATTGACAGGGGATGAGCAGGTTTCTGTGCATCTGAGAGCTCTTCTTTGCCACATCTTGCTTTTGACATCTTGACTGAAGATCCTTTGCCTTCCAGAGTGTTGCTGCCCCAGCACAACGCGCGAAAAGACTCTAGCTTGCATGCTGCAGGTCTATTGAGATCTCAGGCTTTGTTTGCTGTAGGAGTGGCTGCAGTGGTCGGTTCCTGGCGACATGGGTTGCCTGGCAGACGCCAAAGGCCACAGCGCTGGCGAAGGGCAGCTCAGCAAGCACCTGAACATCCGCAACTCCAAGCCACACATTGGCACGCTCTTTTACAATCGGCTTCTGCTGTTTAGAGTGATCTTTAGAAGTACTCAGTTCGTACACGGGAGCAACAGCAACTGTATCCCCATGTTGGGTAGTTGGCCAGAGGCAACACCTTCCTCGACCTGGAGGACGCCCCAACCCTTGCCGAGCAGATCCGTCACCTTCGTAAGGTGAGTTCCTGTCCGGCGATCGGGGCAACAGAGAACCATGGCCACTGCAGGGAAGCTGCACAGACGCCTGAGGCTTCTGAGGCACAGCAGACCAAGGAAGCGACAGATCAAGCGAGCTTCAGGACGCGACTCTCTAGCAACGCAAAGATGTTTCAGCCAAAGCCCCTGGCCATGCCTTTGGCCACGAGCACTACCTATTACAGCATTCCCACACGACCTTATGTGCTCCCCAGTCAGCACCCGGCATGCCCGGAATGGAGTCGGCCAGTTCAACCAGCCCCGATCCTTAGTGACTGGTCTTGTGGGCCTCGCGAGTCACCGTGCCTCTTGAGCACCCCGAGCACTCCCACATCAACGCCGAAAGTGATCCTGGGTTCCTCAGCTCTTCCAAGCATCGGATCAGGCGGGCATGCCACCGGTGAATGCAAGCCATGTGCCTTCTTCCACCGAAAGGGCTGCTCGAGCGGCAAGACTTGCTTGTTCTGTCACCTCTGCGATGCGGATGCGAAGCGAAAGCGGCATCGACAGCGAGGTCTTGCAGAGCATGGGCATTGTCACGTGGAGCAGAGCGCTTGAGAACTGAGCAGCAATCTAGCTGCAATCTAGCTGCACACCCTGGGTTTATGCCCACGGCGTGCGGGAAATGCAAACAGCATTCAATACGGGTCTTCCTGTAAACTTTTAACTTGCAGTTTCTTGCCTAGGGCACTGTTTGCCAGGCCGCCAGGCAGTGCATCAGTGATAGCTGTGTGCGCTGCCTTGGCTGCAGCCAGTGCCGAGCCTTCAATCACCAATCCCTTCCCTCCACTATTAAAAGAGGTTCCCCGTGACTTTGGGTCAAAAGTGTTCTTTATTGCAGGGAATCGGTTAGGCAAAGCTTGAGCCCGACACCCTCAAACCTGATGCCCCTCTATATAATTCCGGAGAGGTTTCAGAGGGTTCTGAGAAGATTTCCATCAGGGGGCTGGGGGGGAATTTAATAGAAAGTGGAAGGGATTCTCTTCAAGCAGCTTCGGTTGCACAACGCTCCACTAATGTGGGTGACCATGGTTTTGTCACCGCAGGCACTCTGTGAGCAAAAAAGCTCCAGGAGAGGGAATCGGGAGCTCGACACAGCTCAACACCTGAGCTAAAGAAGCCCCACTGAGCCAGTTGCCGCATGGTTCTTGTTGGTCCCTGGTTTGCTTGCAGAGTTGGGATCTTGTCTTGGAACCAATTGACAGGGGATGAGCAGGTTTCTGTGCATCTGAGAGCTCTTCTTTGCCACATCTTGCTTTTGACATCTTGACTGAAGATCCTTTGCCTTCCAGAGTGTTGCTGCCCCAGCACAACGCGCGAAAAGACTCTAGCTTGCATGCTGCAGGTCTATTGAGATCTCAGGCTTTGTTTGCTGTAGGAGTGGCTGCAGTGGTCGGTTCCTGGCGACATGGGTTGCCTGGCAGACACCAAAGGCCACAGCGCTGGCGAAGGGCAGCTCAGCAAGCACCTGAACATCCGCAACTCCAAGCCACACATTGGCACGCTCTTTTACAATCGGCTTCTGCTGTTTAGAGTGATCTTTAGAAGTACTCAGTTCGTACACGGGAGCAACAGCAACTGTATCCCCATGTTGGGTAGTTGGCCAGAGGCAACACCTTCCTCGACCTGGAGGACGCCCCAACCCTTGCCGAGCAGATCCGTCACCTTCGTAAGGTGAGTTCCTGTCCGGCGATCGGGGCAACAGAGAACCATGGCCACTGCAGGGAAGCTGCACAGACGCCTGAGGCTTCTGAGGCACAGCAGACCAAGGAAGCGACAGATCAAGCGAGCTTCAGGACGCGACTCTCTAGCAACACAAAGATGTTTCAGCCAAAGCCCCTGGCCATGCCTTTGGCCACGAGCACTACCTATTACAGCATTCCCACACGACCTTATGTGCTCCCCAGTCAGCACCCGGCATGCCCGGAATGGAGTCGGTCAGTTCCCCGATCCTTAGTGACTGGTCTTGTGGGCCTCGCGAGTCACCGTGCCTCTTGAGCACCCCGAGCACTCCCACATCAACGCCGAAAGTGATCCTGGGTTCCTCAGCTCTTCCAAGCATCGGATCAGGCGGGCATGCCACCGGTGAATGCAAGCCATGTGCCTTCTTCCACCGAAAGGGCTGCTCGAGCGGCAAGACTTGCTTGTTCTGTCACCTCTGCGATGCGGATGCGAAGCGAAAGCGGCATCGACAGCGAGGTCTTGCAGAGCATGGGCATTGTCACGTGGAGCAGAGCGCTTGAGAACTGAGCAGCAATCTAGCTGCACACCCTTGGTTGAGGATCCCCTTGTACACTTGTACACTTAGCGACAGAAATGCAAGTAGCAGTGCATCCTCCGTAGAATTTTGTGACATGGAGGTCAGAGGTCAGAGGTCAGAGTTTTCCCGGCAGCCAAGTGAATGAATGGAACATGATCTATGGCGCCGACTGCATGCTAGGCGTGGTTGTTCGCCAGGCAGCTCTCGGTGATAGCTGTTTGCGCTGCCTCGGCTGTAGACAGCCCTCATACATTTTAAGCAGCCTCGGCTGCCCAATGCTCCACAAACGTGGGCGAACTTAGTTTTGTCAACGTAGGCGCTCCATGAGCAAGGTCCAAAAGAGGGACAGAGGAGCCCAACCGCAGCATTACATCACTGCGTTTCTGTGTGTACCGTTTCTGAAGCTCGAGAGAACTTTCAACCGAAGCAAAGGAAGCCTTAGCCTTGGTCTTCGCCAAAGCCCTCCAGCTGCTTGTGGCCTGCGTCCACGACAGCTCGCTGATTGAGACTCTTGGTTGGAGGGGAAGACTGGAAGCAGGGCCGAGAGCCCATCAGGCTGCTTGGGATCTGTGTGATGCCGGAGTCTTAGTGTGAGTTATTGTGAGTTCATGTTGAGTTTGCTCATAAGCTTCCTTCCTGCAGAGCGAGCTCGTGATTTGCGGTGATGCGCAGCTTCTCGCTGTACTTGATGCTTCTACAAGCCACGAGCACTGAAAAGGCCCTCTGCAGCATGGGAAGAATAGCCTAATGCGCGAAGATCTGTGAAGGTAGCGGGGGAATATCACAAGGCGAGACACGGAATCATGTGAGATGATATCCGGCACAGCCTCACTAGATCACTACGACGCAGCACCATGTCAGCATCGTTTCCCACAAAAAGAATGCACATTGCGCCATGACACTTGAGGCGAGGTGTAGAGCATGTGATCCCTGCTCTTACACACACATACACACATCCCGATGCCCCCCAGTTGATCAGGAAAACTTTCACAAAGACATTAAAGCGTGTCAATTCAGCCGAAAAGCGGCCCGAGCAGCGGGTGACTTCCTACGTACAGGTAACAAGGGCGGGTTATATCTAGGCATGTTGTCACAGTTCTTCCGAAACGAGGACAGAGCTGGAAAAGATTTCTGTCATGCACTGCAAGTTCGATTTGCAATTTGGCAGCATCCAAGTGCACGGAATTGAGGCTTCATCTAAGGACAGAGTCGAGCTTTGTCACAGCATGCCAGGCTGTAGAGTGTTAAGATGTTTCAAGGCAAGCATGGCACTTCGAGATTTTCGGCCAAATTCTCCTGGAGACGCTGGCCCAGTTTGGTGGACAGGTGCGATCGTCAACCGCTCGAAGTTGCGGCCGCTCAAGACGGGTCCCGGTTTGGGGGGTTCTTCTTATTATGCTCAGGATTAGAGTATGTTGGGGTCGACCAGGGGTCTCCCCATTTATTATTTTGTTGAAACAACCGTATCAATCCCCACCAAAGCTGCGTGTCGCTGCTTTTCGCAGATCGTTGTGTGTGCCTGCTGGCGCCGTGGAGGCCTGGTGTGACGACTACACGGAGGCTTGGTCCATGCTCTATGGTGACCTGGCAAGGTCAGACCAACAGTGACTGAATTTGGGAGGTTGAAGGCAGAGAGCTTCACTGGCCGTTTTTGCCGAGTTATTGGCATGATTGGATTTCTGGCAATTAGTACTGTACTTAAACTGTTATTCCACAAGGCCCTTGGCTGTGCTTGAAGCTGCCAGTGACATTCAAAAGTGCCCTGGTGCACAGACACTCGCATGTGGCGCCATCCTGAACCCGGCAACCCGAAAGCTGAAACCCTAAACCCGAGCCTTCCTGTGAGCCAAGGAATGGCTTCTCAGACCTTCCTGGAGGCTGGACGTGGTAGCGTCTGTGGCGTTTTCCTTGTGATCATATTCCTAATGTAAACTAGAAGTCGGTGTTGTCATCATGTCTTGTGGTTCAGGATGTCGGGCTCAGCTTTGGTGATTTTTGTTAGGGCTGACAACACGTGAGGGCCTGGCTCGGACTGAAAGCCCGGCATGTCACACACACTGCGAGGCCATCGAGGGCTCCCGGACCAGCCTTTGCAGTGCATTGCTCCAAGGCTCCAGCAAGAAAGTGAAGGCACCCACCGGGCGGGCGAGGGATAGCTTTAATCCTGTATTGCTGCATCTCAAAACTTGAGTGTGTTCTTTGCTTTCGGCTTTTGTTTCTGCCATCCATTGATCAGTGATCGATGCAGTGATCGATGCATGGCCTGCATCCAGCCCACCCTCATGCGACTCACGGCCACAACTAGACCCTTGGCTTGTCCTGGTCCCCGCCGTCCTCGCACACCCACAACACCCTCAAACCCCTCCCAAATTCCTGACTACAGGAGGCGCTCAGCAAGGCTCCTCGCGGAGATCGTGCCGCCAGTCTCTCGTTGCATCAATGCCCAAAGCTCTGGGAGTTGAGCCATCCAGAATCCAGCCAACAACCACACGCCTCCCTCAGGATGGTTTAGGGTTTAGGGTTTAGGGTGTTTCAACATGCTCACATCATGAAGCACGAACCCGAACCCTAAACAGCTGAGCTCAGAGCTTGGATTCTGGATCACATGCGAAGGGGGTGGTAAAGTTGTTCAAGTCATGCCCCGATTTCTATTCACCTACTTAGTTTGACAGCAAAAGCACGAGATGTGCGCAAGTACTTTTTGCACAAGTTCTGAAGAAAAGCAAGAAACAAAAGATTTAAACAAGAAAAAAGATAATGACATATGAGAATCCAAAGAGGTGCCCTGCAAGTGGGCGTGGGGCGGCGGCAGCTGTCGCCACTTCTCTGGGCGCTACGAGACATGCACCTGGAGGCTTACTCCCCCTATCCCCTCCTTTGAAGACTTGAAGAGAAGATGGGGATAAAAGTCTACTGGTCCCTGTAAAAATGGGGTGGTTAACGATAATAAGGGGGCCGGAATATAGAACCCCAAATAGTAGGATCCCCTTGTAAGGACCCCAAAGCTGCTGTAGGTGCTTGAGATACTTCTCAGCGATATCCTGACAATCCGCGCTGACCGGCTTGGTCCTCAGTAGGGTTGACGGTTTCATTTAGGTCCGGCTCCGTCCCAGACACAGGTAGCAGGGTGTCTGGACTTTGGCAGCTTCGTCGTTTCTGACTGAGCGATGACTTGTTTGAACTCAGCGGCCTGATAGGAAGGTTTGAAGCCAAAGCAACGGTTAACGGTGCAGAGTATGGGAGGCACTTCAAAGTGCTCCGTGAATGGATTGTGGAGAATGATTGTGAACTTCCTGCCTTGGGGATGTACACGTCAAGTGTGAAAAATGTTAAGATTGAGCTAACAAAAGCTGACCATGAGCCCATGCATGACTCTTGAATCAACACAGTCCAGATTCAGCATATCATCGTCGGCTTCAACCGGCCATGATTGACCGCCCCAATCAGGCAGTGCTTTTATTATGGAGTCGACGACCTTTGGAAGCGGTGCCCTGCGATTCTTGATGCATTGGTAGAGCAACTCGGCTTCAAGAAGACTCGGGGTTCTGTTACCATGAGTGGTGACTGTACGTCGATCTTCGCCGCTGAGCGCTTTCCACTCAAGATTCTTCTGCCAGGCTTTTCATGTCATCTAGATCCCGTCATGTCAGGCCATGCTGGACATAACACAGATTTCATGACTTCAATGCAGACATACATCGCATGTCTTCGCAAGGAGTAAACGGAGTTTATCACTCTTTCTCTTTCTCTCGCTCCTTTCGCCCGCTCACTGCCTTCATAGACTAGAGAGAGACACGACAAGAAACTCAACGCGACACACGAGCCATGCAACACGAGACAAGATGTGACATGACATGAGACATACAGCACCATACACGCGAGACCCAGCGCACTTTGCTGCGCCTTCGCGAAGAAGCATGTAGAGGAGCTAAACCCCATCAGCTTGAGCCAAGGTTTGCACCCCACCTGCTGGAGCCCCTGCTGGATGGCCACATGTGGGTGAGCCGCGAGCCCCTTGGCATCCCCAGTCTGTCCTCCGTTGCAAGTGCGGACCCCTCACCAGCACAGTAGGTTTTGGACTTTAGGTCCAGTTTCGGGATGCTTGTGGCATGTAACGTTCCATGCTTTACGTTGCCTTCAAAGGCCAGGGCTTGAACTTCCAGGCTGCTGGGGGTGCAGTGGGGGTGCACTCCAGAAAGGTTCATGGACCCCATCCCTCGCGAAGGACTACGGATGGCTTGCGGCGGGTGAACCTCTGGGTCACTTCGCGATGTTGTTGAGTTTGCTTTGTTTGTTGTTTTGCTGCTTGCCCAGAAGGGGGGGGTCAGTTCTTTTCGTCTTGGCTTTCTCGGATGAAGGATGCAGTGTGGAAGGACAGAGAGAATATACTTGTCAAGGGGTACGTAGCAGTGAGCCTCACGCCTCAACATGAACAGAACTGTGTGGCTGTGGCGCCTAGCTTGCCGGTGCAAGTTCCGCATGATTTCTTCCATGGCTGGAAATCATGAGGGTTCCGGGTTCCATCTAAAATCTAAGCTTCCTCTGAAATCCTTGGAGGCCATAGACAAGGTCAAGCTTGCTATTGCCAAAGGCCAAATGTGCCACCTGTGCTTCTGACTCCACGACGTGGTCTAAGCCCTCAGGTCCAGTACATCTATGGCAACCCTGCTTCTGCGCTGCAAATGGGGGCACTAGAGGCTATAACTTACGATTTCTGGAATTTCCGGGTGCCCGCTTGGAGGCAAGGGAAATGGTCGAGGGAGATGCCGGGGCATGCAGTAGGGGAAGGGGGGCTGGGACTTCTCGCGTAGATTCTTGAACTGTTGAATGTCATTGGGAGCAGATCAACCCACGCACTTCGACAGAAGCAAGGCATTGACATGAATGTAAAGATCGATCGAGCGTCGTGCCATTCTGTCCGACAGCTCAGGAAGAGCTAGAGCATGTGTCCCGGCAAAATTCATCCGGGCAGCCTTCTTCCGATTGCTTCACTGTATGGTTGACAAGATACGACCGGCAATGCTTCTTCGGCAGTTCAGTATTGTCGGATCGGATGTGCCAATTGCTTGTCACCGTAGCACTAGATAGGGGGACAGGGAGAGGCTCTGGAAGAGGGAGCGAAAGCAGCAGCAAAATGTTGGCGCTTTCCGCTGGCCCTGACCCTCAAAGCTTGAGGTATTTGCAGGTCCTTTGGGCACCCTGGTGGAGCGGCTGCCTGAGACCCATATCGAGGCCCAGCAGTGAAAGCCCGAGGCTCCTGAACATCAGAACCGGAATCTGCACAGCCTGGCTTGGATCCTTCCTTTGTTAGGGGTCCTCAAAGAGGGCCTTGATCATCCATCGCGGCCAGATGTGCACCCCCCCCCCCCCCCCCCCCCCCCCCCGCAAAAAGCTACACAAGGCTATGCAAAGAAACGCGACTGGAAGTTACTAGAGCAACAGCATTTGTGCCTGTCCAACACGACATCTCTTAGGAGCTATTGTATTGTCTCGTGTTGTTCGTCGTTGGTTTCAAGGGGCAATCCCACCAGCACTTGCTGGGGAGATGCTTTCAGTGATTGGCATGATCTTGGTGCCGCTCTGGATTCTTTTGACTGGGGCACACCGAACCCTCTGTCTGCCCTTTATGCTGAAGAATCTCAAACACTGGAAACCTCAGCAAGAACCTGCAGTCATCGGAGGTGTTCCGTCATCCCGTCATTGCAGCACCTCGGCGACTGAACCGGACATCTCCCTGTCCATTCCGGAAGTACCCGGAGTCCTGCGTGCACCCCCAAAGACCTCTAAGCAGAACCATGCAGAACCTTCTCTCCGATGTGTGCATTTGAAGCCATGGCCTCAAGAAGTACCTGCTGAGTCCACTGATGCACATGGCATCAGTGGCACAAGGAGACCGTCAACCTGAAGTGGCATCAGTTTGGGAGACGGCGCCTGATCGTGGTTCGCCTGGCTGCATGAGTGTTTGCACGTGACAAGCTCTGAACGCTTCTCCGAACGCAGGACATGCAGAGCCTGGAATTCACGTACTGTCCTCCTGTGTCCCTTGGAATCAAAGCTCAGGTTTCTCTTCAGCAGATCACCTGTCTCGTCTCCTACCTCGTGGTCAGCAACCTGTAGTGAAAGGCTGATCTGGTGACAGCATGAGCTCAGACCCCAAGACGAGGCTCCCAACCTTTGACAAGGCTGTGGTTGGGAGCCTACATGAGCCTGCACTCCTGAGGCATGGTCCAAGATCTGCCGCTTTGGCTTCTCCTCTGCGCCTGCACACTCTGGGGAACGCCCTTGCGCCTGCACGAAGTCCAGACTTTTCAGCTATTTCTCCGTGTGAATTGCGCGGGACTGATATGTACGACAGGCATGTGCGCGGAGACCATCACTCTTGAGTCGGCTGCTCTAACATAGAAACCTCTGCATTCCAGCCAGCACAGTTCAGGATCACCACTATCCAGCTGGCCCACGGCTGCTACATAGCCGCGTGGGAGGCCAACCTTGGGATTATGGGGGTTCAGGTCAGTTTAGGAGAGCTACGAACTGGAACCCCGAAGCCTTTAACCTTCCCCTTTCAAATGAGTTCGTCAGGCAGTGAGGGTCGTGTTGTGTTGGGAGGGCTGCACCCCGCTCTCAAAGCAAAATGTGTTGATCTCTCTTGTGTTCTTCGTTAGCCTCGTACTGGCATGCGCCGCAATCTTGGAAAGCACAGCCGTCCTAGTGAACTGGATCCCTGAACCTGAACCGTTTACCCACAGGCTTGCACCCAGCGATGCGTTTCGCTAGCTTGCCGGCAGCAGCAAGAGTTATGATGCTTTCACGTGAGATGCGCTATCGTATCCGCAGGATTTCATCGGGGTGGTTCGTGAAAGTCATGCATGGGGCCTTTGAAATATCTGACCAGACGTAAGGTTGACGTGAGATGATTTTCCGTACTGTAGCATCCCCGCCACCTCTTCTGGGATCTGTCAGTCGTTCGAAAACGTTATCATAGCTCGAACATCCGAGGTCGACCCTGTGGCTTGAGCCTTTTTTCCTACCCATTCCAAGTTTGAAAGTCCTCCCTGGACCCACTGCTTCGCACGAAGCCCAAATAGCTTCTGCGCCACCAGCAGTCAGCTCAGGACTTCAAGCTTTGCCACCTGAAGGTCGGAAGCAATGTGCGATTTCTAAGTTACCAGTTATATACCAATATTCAGGCATTTGCCACAAGAGGCCGTGCCGCATGCATTGGAGTCAAAAAGTGGGGTGCCGATACGCCCTAGCTCCTATGCCAGGTGCCGCGAAGCCTTTGCCAATTCTTCGTGCAGCTGCGCCTGGTTTGCTGTCTCCTGTCCTTGCCGCACGGCATCGCATGGTCGCACTGGGAATGTAAAGCCAATGAAAGCCGTACATGAGGACTGTCTTCTGAGCCTTAGTTGGCTATGCAGTGTGCGTGTGCTCCTTACCAGCTATCAAGCTATCAGTGATAATCCTGCAAGGAGCCAGGTCTCAAGTTTTCCCGACACCTAACCATGCTGAGACCTTCATACTGCTTTCTCTGTGGGGGTTCTCAGCCTCTTTGGGGTTGAAGTCCAAGCGTCAGACGCCGGGGCTGCCTTTTCTTTTAAGAACGGTAGAATGGATGCATGGGCTGGCTGCTGCTGAGGGTGGTGATCGTGGCCATGATGCTACCTTGCTTTGACGAGAGCAGCGCAGCCGAAATATGTAGAATCACCGTGTGCCAGTGACAGTGTGTGTGTGTGTGCACTGCATTGTGCTTGATGCCATCTTCCAGGCTCCACCCTGGATTGCTTGGATGGAGACCGCGCGGCGCCGCGGGTCCTCTCCGCGAGCGTTGCCTTCCTTCAGTGGCGTCCCGAAAGCATGTTATTATTGTTGTTTTTTATGATTATTTTATTTTTATCATGATTATTATCACTATTATTACTATTATTTTGAGAGGCTCGAGTCGGTTTGAGCGCTTTGAGGCTTGGGCGTGAGGGGGCGGGGGATTGGGCGCCCTTTTGGGTGACCCAGTGGGTCTTCATGCTGGATCCTAGCACGCCTGTGTCACCCGGTAAAAGTGCGCTAGTGGTAAAGACGCGGTGCTCTTTAGTTGGTCAGCCAAGGATTCAAATGGCCGAGCTTTTCAAGCAACCCGGCTCCCAAAAGCCTCATGTTCGGAAACATACAGTCGATCTGATACCTTTACACTATGATGGCTGAACCTGGCGACCATCCCATACATCCCATACCTTTCACCGAGTGGGCAGCGTTCTAAACAACACCTACACATCATACAAGCCAGATGTGGCCAACCATGGTCGACGCGACCGGAGACACAATTCGTTCGAGGCTTCATGGCAAGATGGCGGCAGTCGTTCTACTTGGCAAGGCCATGATGGAGGACCACGTTGAGTTTGTTCAAAAGGATGGACATGAAAGGCGAGAGAAAGAGCCCCATGAGCCCCCTTAACCGGCAGAAACTCTGATGATCAATCTTCCCTGTCGGACTCAGGACGCGCTGCGCTTCATGATGGGCCTTGGGCTGTGGCTCATCGCAGTCGGCGTGGGGCTCATGCAGCCAGGGAGCAGGGCCAATGAATGCAGGAGTTACGTGGACCGTGTAAGTTACTGTAGGTTCAGTCCGAAGCTATCACAGAAAGGGTCTGTGCGGTCAAGGGCGTCAAGGGCTGAGGCTGCGAGAGGGGATACATCGGGATACCAAGTCCATATCCTGGAGCTGCCATCAAACGGGGCGCCGCATCTCTCGAACCCCGACACAAACCGCTGCAACATACCTGGCGACTTGCACACATCTGTTTATGCCAGGGAAAAGCGCAGACCTACACAACCGCAACAGAAACCTTCAGCATAACATGCATTGCTTACGGTGACAATGAACACACCTCGGGACAAACGCTTGATGATAAACTGACACAGTTGCAGTCCACAGACGCATGCGGAGGTGCATCGCTGCATAAGCTGCAGGATGAGGAGAATAGGCGCGGCATGAAAGTTGCCTGATATGTTGCCATACCAAGAGCTCCCAATCTGAGGGCACGGTGGGAAGTGAGATCCTTGTTGCAGCTCAATGTGTGCATTGGGTTGGCATGTGCATTCTTGCGAGAGGTATTTCAGTCTTTTGTGTGAAAAAAAGATGGGGAGAGTGTCAGCCTCCTTTCCTGCGCAACCCGGTCACGTGTCCCCGAGTTGCCCTGCTCAAGCTGCACATGGATAGCCAGCTCATGAAGTCTCTGCTTTGACATCCAAGCTGTAGCTTCGGAAGAAGCATGATAGCAAGAGTATGCAAGAGTCTTACATGTCATAGGCATGTAGGGGTTCAGAACGTTCAAGGTTGGAGACGGTTGGCCTGCATAACGCAGGCTGCTTCGACAGCAGGACACACATGTACCTTCAGAGCCTTTCAAGGGTAGACTTCGTTCCTCATGTACCAGGTAGACGTAAGTAAGGAGCCAGCAACTTCTGCTGAGCCCTGCATCTGCAGGCCAGAGAACGGTTTCTCCAGCGCGTACAATTTGTTCGCGCATGCTTGGGCCTCATCGGTCTCGATGAAGATCAGATTGCAGAGCATCCAGGTTGAAAAACAACGTTGGGACCATCGGAAGAGTAGCATCTTGTTCAAGGTGCTAGCCCACCGATGGCTCAGGTCCTGGGCGTGGGCACCGAAACAGCCACTTCAGCTGCACTGGAAGCAGCTGGAAGCACACACCCGAAGAAGTTTAAGCCCTGCATACCTGAGTGGGAGGGGTTTCGCGAACGATCCGAGCACGACAGTTCGCAAGAACCGTGGGGTTAGAGTTGTCTGAGACCACGGCGCCCGCTGGCGCGCGCGAGCCCGGCGCCAGTAGCCTCAGGAACGTCAAGGTGCTTTCTCTGAGTCGTCCGCCCACCTCGATCCCGAAAACCAGGAGCCGGCATCTTTGGCTTTGCGCGAGCTTGGGGTATGTGCGGCGTTTACGGTCGATCGCCATGGCCAGCCCTGGTTCCCGGTCGGCCCCTGGCCGGCAATCGCCATCGCGTCGCACCGGGCTGACGAGCGTCGCATCGACTACGACCTGTGCGCCCTGCCAGACCGGACCACGACTTCGATTCTGCGGCCGCCGGCGCATCGATGTTGAGGATATCCGAGCCAGCGGGCCCGCTCGGCGGGCCAGCACACCCAGGGCATCGTCGCGGGGCTTGAGGTTTCGTTCCCTGAGTTCACAGGGTACCCAGCTTGCATATCGCTCACCTGCGGCGATTCCCAACATCAAAGTGCCAAAATTGAGATCCTGGCCCAGAATACCGAAAGAGGAGTGCCATGATCCTCAAGGCATCACAGGTCTTTAGTTTGCGAGCAACCTGTTGCCAGCAATTCACAAATCCATGAATCCCGGTCCAAAGTAGAAGCTGCAACACAGGACATGAGTTACTACGGAACCGGCCAAGTCATCGACACGATTATTCGTGCCGTCTACTTGGGCGCACTGCTCCTCGACAAAATCATACTGCCCATGGCACCCTGACAGGTCAGAGAAGTAAGGAGGAAAGCACAACAGAACCCACCCGGTCAGTCTGTCTTGCACATGAAATCCTCTACTCCAACCCGGTCGCGAAGCTTAGGGCTTAGTGGCTTAGTGCTTCTGCCGCACCTTAGCTGCCGACCCCGGCTCCTACTCAGTCCTGCTTTTGGTATCTGTCAAAGAAGAGAAGCCTTGATGTGAAGGTGGGTCTCAGTGGTTCCGATACTCAACGTTCTTGTCGCCGCGATGGCTTCTCGGCTCGAAGCTGCTTTTCTATGCTGAGGTTTGGGCATCTCAAGCCACTGTCATTTGGAGGGTCTGAAGTGGCTTCTCCCATGGTTGGCTTCTGCACTCCCTTTCATTCAGCTTTTGTGTGGGTGTTCCCCGGACAAAAGGACAGTCCGACATGTGCCCGGACAATGGCAACTGCCGAGCATCATTCACACGTCCAAACCCCAGGTGTCCACCTACTCCAAAGCAGAGTCTATGACGCTGGGTTTGGCGATCAAGGCGTCACGGCCAAAATACTGATGAGAAGTGCATCCCAGCATTTGATCCAACGAGAAGACAGCCGAAAGCACATGGAAGCACAAACCAGATATGAGGGTTTTGCCAATACTAATGGCCCCGAATATAAAACCTCAGATAGTAGGATCCCCGTATGATAAGGACCCCAACAAGGCATCCCTAATTGCGTAAACCCCACATTGCTTTGGCTGATCCTGGAAGGCCAGAGCAGCCTTTGTGCTGCGCATGGAGGACCTCGGACATGGACCAAGTTCACGCGAAGTGTCTCTTCGTATTTGTGAATAAAAAAGAAAGGGTCGTGCTTCTTGCATCTGCGTGTGGCCAAGAATACTGATGTAGTCGTGTGTTGCAATCGAGGGAGCGTGACGGGGGAGAGAGTCCCATTAGGCCATCAGTTTAGTAGCGCTGGCATTTTGCTGGCCGCCCGTGCGGCGTCTGGACTACCTTCGCGCAGCAGGCTGACATCGAGGCAATGACACAATTACACAGAGTGTGTATGTGTGTGGTGCTGTAGTGAGGAGTACGGTAGGCAGGGTGGAAGGCCCCCCCAACCTGACATAAGTGACAAACAGTGAGTGTGGCGTGCGACAGTCCTGTGTATAAACGACTTGTCCGATTCAATGGGTCAGACTGTCGGTGGGGAAAGATGGAGGCCTCCGGGTTTAAGTTGAACCAGGTTGCGAGATTGTAAGTGACGTTGTAAAAGGGGTACAACCATATATAGTGATACTGTGACCGCGAACCAAGACTTCAATCAAAAACGGTGCCCGGCTACTTGTTCATGGGGCCTGGGCACGGGTAGGTTGATTGTGATCGGGAATCGCAATAGACTGGAGAACTGCAGTTCACTGAGTACCGACGCGAAGCAGGCAGTACTCCAGCAAGAGATGCATGGGCAGGCCTGTGCCAGCAAGTTTACGAGCTCTTATATAAGTCGTCTTAAGTCTAACTTTTCTGTCTGGCTCTGACACCATCGGCTCCAGGACATGCTTCGGTTTGCCGCTTGGACAGCGAGAGTTTGAGGAGTGCAAAGGTGTCAGGGACCAGCGACCCATAGTTTGCATGGATGTAATCTGCCGGTTCGATCAATACCGACAGATTACCGATTGTTTCTCGATAAAGTATTGGTAGTATTGATGCGAACGGTTAGGTTCGATACTCAAGTACTACCGATTTCCGTTCGATAGAGGCGGACGCAACCATTTGACACAAAAACCTCTCCTGCAATACTGTCCTTTGCAGCATGAGTGGGTCCTCGCGAAGGGGGCAGCCTAGTTGCCAAAGGTCCTGTAGCGTCGCAACCCCCAAGCTTTGTAAATGAAGGGCTCAAGAACCTCCTGCCTTCCAGAAGCGCCGCCTGCACTACTTCAAAGAAGCTGGCTTTGACGTGGCCCTGGCCTTCTCCGAACACGACCGAGGCAGCCAATGATTATCGCTGAAAGCTGAACCCAAAACTTGGCTCTACGAACTCTCCACCTTCACGCGTGGTTCACGTCAAGGCTGTAGGTTTCCCAGAATTGGGAGGCCCGAGCGGCGGCATCTCCATGATGTGCGACACGCTGCAGCTGAAGGCGCGGCGCGGCCTGCGTTGTAGTTTTCTTGGGAAAAACTGGGGGCCGTGGCTCCCATCGGATGTCGATGTTGGTCACTAGTTTCGGTTTGGAGCTGAAGCCAAGATGGACCTGCAATCTGAGAGCTCATGCACCCCAAGCCCCGCTGAGCTGTGTAACCTGCAGATACTGTTCTGGAAGCGAAGGGTATCCAAATGATCCCTGGAAATCCACTTCAGCATGCAGCAAAGCTTCCTGGTCTTGCTGCCATTTGGTTGCAAGCTCACCCTGGTTGTCCCAAAACTGCCCACACTATCTCCAAGCGATTCGACACAGCATGTCCATGTGCCCACACATCCGCAGCTTCGGGGGCTTGCAAAGACTCGTTGGCCACAGGCGTAGGCGAGCCATAGAGAATGGGCCGACCAGGGCTCGGTTTGCACAAGTGATCATGGTACATGTAGTGGTTTCATCTGCGACATGAACCACATGAACCCAAGCTCGCTCGCGGATGGTGTATAGTGTAGCACAGGAGCACGGCAGCTTCGCGCGCCGGGTCGGCACAGTCCTCTTCTTTGCTGGGGAGACTGGCGCGGCGGCTCGGGTCGCACTCGCCCTCCCGGCCCGATGTAGATTGCTACGTGATGAACTTCGGATGGAGGGGATGTACTAGGTTGCGCACCTGCCCTAGCCCAATAAAGCCGAAACTAGCCTCTTGCCCCTGTTGTTGTTTTTCGTGCCTTTGCTGTGGGCTTGGCAAGATCACTGCGTGTGGCTGGCCCAAGTCTGACTGAGCGGTCGCGTGAAATCACCCGATTCCTATGCGAGCTTGAGCTTCCTGACCTCACACCATGGTCCAGAAATTACGCCACAGAATCCGGGTCAGATTCAGACATTTCATTTGAGGAGCAGCCGTGGCCAGCCCACGACATTCCAGTACTGTGCGACATGGTAGACACTTCGACCGAAAGGCTTCCCTCCCAGGACTGGGGATGAGGGTTGAACGTTCTCGCTCTCTCTCTCTCTCTCTCTCTCTCTCTCTCTTTCTCTTTCTCTGTATTTGTCTTTCTTCTCTTTCTCTGTGCATGTACATTGCCTATGTGCATGTGTACATATATATATATATGTATATATATATGTAAATATGAATTCATTTTTTTTTTGGGGGGGGGGGGGGGGTGAGGCGGCGCTCAGAGATCGCCCTGGGGGCGGGGGGGGATCTTGGCTGGGTGCAGACTTTTGGCTGTTTTGGCTTGAAGGTTTACCGCCGAATAGCACAGCATGTCGGTTGAAGGCCAGGTTGGGATGCCTGGAGTTGTGGTCAGCAGCGACCTGGGCTTGCGAGATCTTGTGGGCACTGTTGGGTTGTGTTGACCTTTCAGAGTGCACGTGCGCCTTCTGAACAAGCGTCCTGGCGCGGAACCTCCAACAAACTCACCTCTAAAGCACGCACCGCAGGATTCCAGCCTTGACAAGGTTCCTCACAGTTATCTTGTGATTTCGGAAGTAGCCTCGTCATGAATGCAGGAGCTGCACCAACAACTGCTGTCCGAGCTTCGCGTTATCCGCGACGCCACGACACGTGACAGGGTCATCCCAGCTGCAAAGGAGTAGCTTTCTTGGTGCCGCATATCGCCGGTCAAGCACATTTTTCATGCTTGCAGCTGGATTCCAACTTCTGATCACGATATGTCCACTAGTGACAGGCCAAGAAATCTGGCAGGACATCCAGACATTCTGTTTTTTTTTCTGTTTTTGCCTTGTACCACTACTCCAATACAGCTAATCGGATTGCTATTATTCGCTTTCAGCTTCTTCAGGTCATTGAAGCTTTCGTAGCTTTGCTTTCTCGTATCATGTTCGGCCCCCCTGAAGCCATGATCGCAAGACTCTTGCATGTCCCTCTACCTAGGTCAATGGAGGGAAAGCATTGCCGGAGCCGTCTGCTGCATCTCGACACGTGGAGCTATCGCTGGAGACACTGGCCGCTTGGGTCATTATTCCCTGCCATGGCCATAGTTCATGTGTTCCGCTGCATCCTGAAGAAGTTGCGAGCCCCCAAGCCCCCAGGCAGCGCTCGCCGAAGCGACGGCAGGCCACCACTGTTTTCTGGCCATCGAAGGCCTGGATGGGGACTTCTTGGGAGCTGTAGGGGAGCTTTAGGTGCAGCTTATGGCCGTTCACTGAGGACTTCTAGCCGTGGAGGAGACTGGGTGGCCATCGATAGGGGCCACTCAAGTTTTTGCCTGTCCTCTACATCATGTCACCACGTGCAAAAGTTTTCTGTATGGGGAGGGAACCTGGTTTGTATACGGCATTGGAGGATCCCATGCCAAGTTGCGGTCCGGAAGGGAAAAACACTGCAATCTCCGCACCACGGTGTCTGGCATGTTTTGCTGCATCAGAGCTGGGACCTCAAGCAAAGATACTTTTTCATTGACAGCATAGCTCCACACAAGTAAGTTTTGCACCGTGGTTGTCACTGCTCTCCTGTGCCTCTCTGTGCCTCTGCCTCTCTGCCTGCGCCTCTGCCCCTCTCTCTTTCGCTCTCGCTCTCTCTCTTTCGCTCTCGCTCTCTCTCTCTCTCTCTGTCTCTCGCTCTCTCTCTCTCTCTCTCTCTCTCTCTCTCTGCAGCGTTATCTTTTTCTTCTTCCTCTGATTTAAAGATAGACGTGACCATCTGTTGAGGTCGTTTAAGAATCATGTCGCCACCTATACCAAGTTTAGCAGATGTCGCCGCACGTTAGCTCTTGGTCCTGCGTTTTCTGTTGCTGACGCGGGTTGCTTTCGCAGACTGCCTGGCCCAGTGAAAGCACCGTGCGGTTAGAGAAAGTGCACCTGATTCCTACGAAAGGCAACTTCCTGGCAGGTCGAGTCTATGATGTGGGCGCATACCTTCCGAAGCATCCAGGCAGGAAGATGCCTCGTCAGAGCGGGTGTGTGTGTGTGTAGGTGTGTGTAGGTGTTCATTACTGAACTTGATGAGATCTTGGATCGGGGCGAGCTTCTGAACTACCATGATGCCCTGGGAGCTTTGTTGATGCTGTTTTGAACATGGCTGAAACTGAGCCATCGTTCAGAAACTGCACCAGTGCAGGTGGAAGCGGCGTGCTGGAATCCGGCCGTGGCAGTGATGTAAGTGATACTAGCCCGGTCCAGCAACTCTTTTGTTGCACATGGTTTCTGGAATCACGGTTTGCTTCTTGTTCTTGGTAGCAGCATCTGCGGGTCATGTTCGCCTCTAGGACATTGAGTTTATGAGAGGTTACAGCTAATGACAACGGTATCATCTCGGTTACCATCTTGAAACAGAATGGCTTTGTGCAGGGATGATATATTTCCGGCCAACATTAAAGAGGCTCATGTTCCATATCCGTGGTTTGCTTTGCGCTGTTCTTCTTTTCATTTGTGTGCACTACTTCTGTCTTCGAAAGTCCTTTCCGGAGTTTCACCAATGATACAATGCAAGGTTCCTTCTTTTTGGTGTTTGTGGAAAGATATGAATTGTCTATCTGTTCCTTCGCGAATTAGGTTCGGCCTCAATTTTTTTCACATCCAGACAATGCACTAGAAGCATGTTGATTACTTACTGCTTTGCATAGAGTACCTGAATGGCATCTCTTATGCAAACATACAGTTTCAAGTGTTGTACCTCATAAAACATTCTTTACTTGTATCTTATCCTTGCTTAGCTTAGGAAAATTCTTTCAAAGTCTTTTTGCTGCCTTATCATGTCCAGTAGACTCGTAGACGTAATGGATTTTATCTGTGGTGTTCGGCTTCTTTCATTTTGCCATTTTGTTTTCTTCGGACAGATGGGCAATTTCCTGTGGCCAACGCGACAGTGCACTAGAATATTCGATTTTCCTTGTCTATATGAAATAGGCAAATAGTCCTGAAATGCCCAAGAGCCCCTTAACTAGTATGAGCATACCCTTGGTGGCATCTGCAACCGGCTAATCTCCTAGACTTTGCAAGGCTACCAGTTGAACAAGGCCTGGAACACTCCTGTCACCCTGAAGTCTCTACTCCTTCCCAGGAACTTTTTCGGACCGCCCACTCTCAACTGCCCCGGGCGCGTGCTGCTTTGGCAGAGCTTCCAGTGGCCTGTTCGGCACGGAGTGAGAGGGCAGAAAGCGAGTCAAGCAGCAGATGGATGCCAGATGCATAGCACGTGGACATGTGTGTCTCTGCGTAGAAGCGAAGCGACACAATCCCTCTTCCCAGCGCTGAAAACCTCTCCACACAACATGTTCCTTTTGCAAAGGGGGTTGTTCAGGATGAGCCCTACTTTGGGGCCTCTCACAAAGTACCCTCTTGCAATCTTACCGTTCCGATCATCCCCGCCCGTGGGTAGGGCAGCTCGGGCGTTGGCACGGGCAGCTGCTTTCCTTGGAAGAAATGGGTACCCTGAACAGTAATTCGGGAGTGTACTGATTCTAGAGACCCAGCACAGGGGCCTCGAAGGAGACTCCGCGGTGTTTTGAGGACAATCGGGCATGGGATTAAACCCCCAAACCCTAATCCTCCGCAGCCGGAATGCGATGGGATGGCACGAAGCAATCATGAGCCTAGGGACGAAAAGGTCAGGGCCAAGAGGCGATGGCCAATGGGAAGAAGAAAGTGAAGAAGCATTGGAGCATTAGTGTATTGAATATATGGGCAACTGTTGGGGTTTAGGGTTTTCCCTCTCCCGCCCTGGAACCGTGCGAAAAGTGGTATGGCCATGAGGAGCCCGAATGGGGAAGCGACTACTCGTAGTAGGGATTCACTGGTCTGTTGGGTTTTGCTGGGCCTCGAGTTGAGTGCCAGCGACAGCCTAGTGGGGCTCCCCGCCTCGCCTGGTTTGTCCGAGTGTGAGCGATTAAAGAAAGTGGTCAGCTCGGCGGGCAATAACAAACTTGTGTCTCCTGAGGTGCTTGGCACCCTGCCCTACAATGCGGCCCCGCTGGAGAGTGCAGGGAACAAGGTCTTCGTCTGAAGGCCCGGGACGGAGGCTAGAGCAAGGGCAGTTGCTTCGGCATCCATCTCTAGGTCGGCTTACACGCCTGTTCTGCCAGGTGTAGATGTGAAACGAAGTGGAGCGCTACAAAGGAAATGTCCCAAAAACCGTTTTTTCCTTAGGCACCTGTGACATCAGAAAATATCCGGCGGATTCAGAGGTATCGTCTCCCCCGACCGCCGCGCAGCATGTCTGCAGAAATCGATGTCGGATTTGGTTGCCCGTGTTCTTCAGGTGTGCTCTGGCCTTGCGTGGGTTGACCTCCAAAGTGTCGAGGCTACTTTTGAGACGGAACCCGACACGCATGTATAACTGACGTGCAGACTAGTCAGGGTTCAGTGTCGATGTCTCTCTCGCATGCAGTTCCTGAGCCTGGGCGAGGAACAGCCGGTTGACTCAGGGATGCCCTACCGACTGCACCGGTGCGAGATTCACGTTCCTGTCGTCGCCACCCCGTGGAAACAAACTTGGCATACTTGACAATAATGTTCATTCAGATTCATTCAGGCCAAAGGAAGACGACAGTTTGGATTCCTGCGCTTGATTTCCCAAGAAACATGCACAGAGGGTTGGCTCACACGGGGGGGCGCTCAACTGACACAAAGTCTCGAAACCCTAACACCGATCCCCCGCTTGAACCTTCTCCACTGCCAAGTACAAGCTGTCCTCCGCAAAGCGGGACAGCTTGTCGCATGTGTAGTGTCCATTTTATGAATTGACGCCAGAGCGCAGCTTACCGCAGGAGATGTCATGAGACGTTGTTCCGCTCTTGAACGGTGTAGTTGCGCGCTGTGCTGTCGGATGTTTTCCATCATCTGCGTAGCACATGCATTTGCATACTCCGCGACCGGCGGAGTAGAGCATGTTCGTTGAACTTGTTGATATCCGTGTCCGACATAGGAGCCCACGTGTCTAGAGTCTAGACTATGAGTGGTTTTCACTGATTGTCCTTGGCATGGTGTGACGCGGAAATCGTGTCGATGAAGAGCGTTGCTGGGAAAGCACCTCTTGTGCACCTGAAGAGTGTAGTGCAAGGCTTTCCCATTTGGATCAGCACAGCACATCAGAACACAACGAGGCTTTGTTCACTATGCAAACAGAACTACATATAATAGCATGCATATATAGATATATATGTAGACTTTTTTGCCGTTGGCATGGAACACGTCTGGGGGCGTGTGACGATATTGAAGTGTACAGACCCGCTGAGCCCCTGGAGCCACGTGCAGACCATGAAAATGCTGGAATGTCTCGGACGGTTCTCGCGGGCTCAGCTTTCGAAGCCTACTGCTTCAAATCAATGTTTTTCTTGACTGCTCAGCTTTGGTCACCCTCATAAAGGACTCAGAAGAGGCCTCACCAGATGAACATCTACCCGATTGCATAGTTTTCATGCCCAGCAAAACAAAATGGACTCAATAGAATCAATAGACATCACATCTCCTGACCATGATTTCTCTGACTCTTCAGTCTCATACATCCTCAAAGGCCCTTCTCCAAGCCCTGGCCCAAGAGACATGCCGGCCGTGGTGGAGACGTTGTACCAGAGCCAGCCATGCGCAGACAGCCTAAGGCTACCTGAGCTGCACGTTCTGGGTGGCAAAATTGTGTGTGAGCCGGTTAGGGGCTCAGTTCCGGAGTGCCCTAGTAGCCAATCTGCTTTCTTTGGGGCCTGGTGCCATGCTTTCAGGCGTTTATGAGCAATCGGCCTAGGCTGGCTCAAGGTGAATGGGGACAGTTGGGAAGGGGCCCATGTCGGGTTCACTTGGGCATGACTCCGCAGCACTGTAAACTAAAGTTGTGTAAGGAGACGCATCACGCTGTAAGGAATCATGAAAATCATGAAGACTCACGGCTGCTAGCCGGGCACGACGAGAAGTTCGAGCCTTGAAGCCAACTGTGAAGGTATCTCCAAGTTGTTCACCGAGATAGGCGTCTCCTATTACAAGGGGTACCCTTGCTCCTGCCACTGTGCTTTTCTAGACCGAAGAGTTCTCAGAGCGCCATAACGCCAAGATGGGGGCGCTCTTCGGGCCCGTGGCCCTTGCTTGTGAATGCTTCTTTCAGAGATGTTCGCCGGTTTAGGATTTAGGGAAGGTTTCAGGGTTTAAGGTTTAGGGGCTCGCCGGCTTTCAAGAAAGTGCAACTTTAGATTTATTGACTTTCGGTGATTGCAGAGTTGAGTGCCGCGACTTCCACCTGAGCCCTGCACCGTCTTGGTATACCTTCTGCGCACCCTCTTCAAGTAATCTTCTGACATAAACTGTGGGGGGCATTGCGTTGCAGCGTTGCATCTTTCTCAATACTGCCCGCTGGCCCTATGGCCCTGGGGGTTCCAGGCAGAAACATGAGCAACGAGAACTGGGGCTGAAGGAGATGTAGGAACGTTTCCAAATGCTTTCTCCGAATACTGGTTCTAATTTGCGAGAGTTGATTGCGTAGAGCCTAACCCCCCCCCTCCCCCGAGCCGAGACAAGTCACCGTCCCCGCAACGCAACAGAAACATAAGCAGCAAGCCTTGTATGCGGCAATCTCCGCTGACACTGCTTCATTGCGATGCAACAACTGAATCTTCTGGAGGAAAGATACCGGTCCCAGTACGGCGGGACAGATTGCCCGCTGCTCAGCACGACTCTACGATGTCTATGAGTCGTCGGTCTTGTGCACATGTTAGTGTTGATGTTGAACATCGACCTGCCTCTGAGAATGCCATGCCCAGGTTCCGGACCAGAACAGCCCTCTGTGAGCTCCTTGGGCAGGGTTGGGCATGGGATGTGCCTCGTGTGTTCAGGCCCTCTCCGAGGCTGTTATATTCGTTGCTGGTGTCATCTGCATAAGGTGCACAGTTGGGATGGCGGATGCTTGAAGTACGTGTTTGCCATGCCTTGTGTTCAGGTACGGCTTCGGCGAAGGTCAGGGAGGTGGCGGAATGTTGAGCAAACTCTCCGCGCACCCAGCCTCAGGATGGGTTGATTCTCCCAGAGCCAACAGAGCTGATGTATGCAAGCAACCCATAATGGATGTGCCATGCTGAACAGGGTTTGTCATGGCCCCAGTCGAGGTTGCTGGCCGCAGCCATGGCTGGACTGTTCAGCGGAAACATGTCCGACCAGATGAAGGCGGGGCCTCACCTGATGGGAGCCGTGTTGGCCTTGCCTCGTTTGGACGCGTTAACGTCACACATCTCAAGTTGGGTTAGGACGGTTAGGAAAGTGAAGTCAGTGAACCAACATAAGTCGGCTCCCACATCTCATGCGAGCCTCGAGTGTGGACCCAAGCTTAAGCCATCAAAAGCCTGCACTTCCAAGCCCCTCCCTGGTGCGAGGCGCAAACTCTACAAGACGCCACATCCGATCTGCCGAGCGGCGATTGCGGCATGATGAACCAAGGCGGCTTCCAGATAAGAGGTACCGATTGTGCTCAGCAGGAGCAACGGCAGCAGCAATTGAGTTTGAGAACGACAATCAACAGTTTTTGACATGATGCGTGGGGCCAGCGTCCAGCCCATGTGGCGCAACACGTCCAGGCTACATCAAGGAGATCCAGGGTGACAAGAACAGGCATTGCTACTGGGGCGGAGACCTCAGCATCCAGAAGGTCCCCTTGAGAAAAGAATCACCCTTCAGGCCCCTCAAGGTGCTTGCAGAGATCAGATGTAGTAGCGGCTACGGGTCTTTTGGGAGTCTGCCAGATGTCACCGAGCCACCTGAGGGCTGGGCATTCTGACCTGATTGGTGCCTTCCTGGGAGGTAACTCAGACCTGACGCCTGGCGACTTCCCAGGGGCCCCACCACCACCGCCGCGGCAGCTTGGCCGAAGCTTTGCCGAGACATTCAACAGCAGCTTCTGTGATGCGTGACCGCTGGACGAAACTGGCTTCTTATTCGGGCTCATACGAAACCCCTTTGGAAGAGCCTTCTCGTGAGAATTTCTAGTATGGCAATAAGGATGAACAAAGAGAGGGCGTCTGATTCCAGGTGGACCGTGTACTGACAAAATAGTCTCTCAGTCCAATCACCAGTCAACGTCGCCCAACATTCCCCAGAGACTTCCCCAGAGAGAACCACACGCATGAAGGATAGGTTCCAAAGATTCTCGAGGGGAGGGGAGGGGTGTCAGCGGGTGCACACTTGAGGCAAAGACCCGCCCTCGCCTCAGCATCAGAGCAGGATTGGTTGGTTCACTGCTGGAGAAGAAAGCGTTGCTCGATTCGACTCGTGTTTTTTTCAGCACTGCCTGCGGTAAAGCACCTGAAAGGGAATGGCTTCATAGTCACGACGTGCATCCAGAGAGGGCCATAGGGGCTGCGGCAACACCAATTACAGGAGGAATCCGGCCCTTTTTGGCTTTTCCCATCACCAAGGCTGGCCCTTATGGATATGGTGGTCCGAGTCTCAGAAGGGTTCGCTCCATAGCCCAACAATGGACTGCAAGTTATATAGGTGGTTGAGCTTTCCGACACCACAGGGGTTAGAAGAATCCAAACAAAACTCGAGTCTTTACGTCGAGACACCCAAGATGTCCTAAGACCTTCGATCCTACTTCAGATCAGGTGGTTATGGAGGCTACGGCAGCCCTGGCTATGGCAGCCCTGGCTATGGCGGCGGCGGTTACGCCGGTTATGGCGGGGAAGGCTACGGGTGGTATCCGCCGCCGCCACCCGGTGGGTACCAGTACAACAGAAGCTCGGCAGCATGTCAGCGTGGACTCCACCATCAATAGGACAAGGGGGGTGGGGTGAGGATGAAGGCTGTGTTAGAATGATACATAGAGATGAAGGCTTAAGGGTGTTCATGCTAGTGCCGGTCACCTCCAATGCTGCAAAAAGTGTCTTGCACTGATAAGCTTTGCACTTGGCCTGTCCAATTGTCTTACATGACGCCCTAATACGCCTAAATGTCGGAGATGCATCCTGCCATGTGGCGGCACCCAGGAGGCTACGGCTACGGCTACGGCAACGGGCCAGGCCGGGGGCGGCTTTGCACGGAAGCTAAGTACCTGACGTGCACTTGGGATACTGGTTAAAGTTTGAAATCTCAATGAATCGCCCCGGCGCTGCTCTTGCACTTTGCATGTCTCATCGCAGCACCTCCTCGCAGCGGAAATCACCTGCTTTGCAAGCAGTTTCAACTGCCAGGTGGTGTGGCTCCGTACCAAGGACCCCAGCTGGGCGGCAAAAGCCATGGTTTGGCACAGAGTTTAATCGGTTGCAATCTTTCAGGGCAGATGACGATTAACTTCTCTGGGCAAAAGGCCGCTGAGAGTCATGGCAGGCACAGCAGACCAAATCCTCAAAGTTCCTGCAACTAGACATTACTCGTCCGGATGTACAACTACCCGGCAGGAGCATACGGAAGCACTTCAGGTGGGCTGCGTATTGTGAACTCGAGACCCGACAAGGTCGTGACTAAAAAATGATGACCGACCTGCTTGCCGAATATGGCTTGTTCTTCTAGCGCAACTGGTCCAGGCATGTCAAGGTTTTGGCAGACACTAGGCAGACTGGCTCAATCTACTTGGTACGGAGGAAGGACGCAACTGTACTGCTGGAGAAATGGCACCAGATGTCATCCACTAAATGTTGGAACGCCTCTAGCATGCCTCGGCAAAGGTGGTGCATCATCGGCAAGTGCGCCCGTTCATGGGTTCTTACAGGGTTCGCAAGGCTTGCATTCAGGGAGGTGTTTCAAAGGACTACCTTCGCCATGGGGTCTTATCCCCCTTCGGTGCTTCCCTCGACATGCACATGGACAGCGGAATAGCTATAGCACCGAGTCAGAAGGGTTGGTGTTCCTGGAGCATCCTCGCAGCCCAGCACGGCCGCCCTGGTCCGGTGCTCGGGAAGTCTCTTCCTATATCATGCGCGTCACATGGCAAAACGCCTCCACCTGTCCGGACCAAAATCACGCTGAGCAGGATCTCACCATGGAACCCGAATTCCCTGCGACAGACCGCGGGCCCCCGCAGACTCCCCTCAGCCTGCACTGAAAGCTACTGTAGCTAGTGAGGAAGATGTAGGAAACTAAACCCTAAACCCTAGAAAGGAACTGACAAGAAGTTGATGTCGCCTACTTAGCCTTGCACCCCTTATCTGCCATGGCTGAGCTCCAGCCTAGGGCCAGGTCTGCCAACGATGATACAATGGCCTCTGCAGCAATTTACAATAATCCCCTTCCCCCTAATACTACATTCAGGGCCCATCAAGCTGAAGCTCACTCTGCGACCGGAATCCGGCTTGCAAACCTGGCCCCGCAAATCATGCTTTTAAGCAACCTGAACCAGCTCAAGAGATGAGTTAGCTTTTCGGCAGCGCGGAAACTTGGCACGTCACTCATAGCGTTTTACTTCTCTAAAGCGCTAAGCTTCTATGAGACCACGTGGCACCCGCGTTCTTCTGCACGGGAGCACACTGGGTTTCGGTGGGACCCGCGTTCTTCTGCGTGGGAATGCACTAAAAATCGGCGGGGCCCGCGTTCTTCTGCGTGGTACCGTGCCGGGTCTCGGTGGGCCCGCGTTCTTCTGCGTGGGACCGTACCGGGTCTCGGTTAAACCCGTGTTCTTCTGCGTGGGACCGTGCCGGCTTCCGGCGGGACCCGCGTTCTTCTGCGTGGGACCGAACTGGGTTTCGGGGAGGCCTGCGTTCTTCTGCGTGGGACCGAACTGGGTTTCGGGGAGGCCCGCGTTCTTCTGCGTGGGACCGTGCCTGGTTTCGGTGGGACCCGCTAAATCCCTCCGTTCTTCTGCGTGGGACCGTACACCCCGTTTGGGTTTTACAAGGCTAATTAAGGAAAGGGGAGGGCCCCGCTGGACCACTTTTTTCGTGTAGTTGTAGCGTTGTAGTCCAAGTGTCTGCCCAGCCGGTGCGTTGGTGTGTGGTCTGTAAAGCCCGGAGCGGTCTTGCCATATTGGTGGGCTTGCTTTTGGTACCGCCAAGCGGTCAACCGTCCGGCTTCAACAGGAGGGGCCCAGATAGTATCGCAAGAACGCCATCAGGTAGCATGATCGAATTCTCTGCAAGAAGGGCTTCTACAATGCCTGGCAATGTCACAGCAAGGTCCGTGCAAACATCTTGGATGCTACAGCACCATTAATTCTTGGCGGCAATGTGCCCGATTGGCGTGCAAAATTCGCGGTTTCCGGCTTCGTTTTTGGGGCTGTTTTCTGGGCAGCTTTCTTCATGCCAGCAGCAGCCAGGGCACAGAATTTGCGGCTGCGCCGTGGGCGCAGTTTTGGAACCGCAGCATTTTCGTTTTTGGGGTCGTGCTTGTGGCTCCAAGGGTTTGTTTGTTTGTCGGGCTGCTTTGTCTTCCCACCCCGACGACCAGTTTTCGTCCCATTTTGGTGGTCGGGTTTCCGGCCCGTTTGGCGGGCCCAAAAAACTGACCCAGGCACAGTAAACCCCCTACCCCCTAATATTAAATACCCCTCCATTGTAGTGGGAATATGCTATAATATAACTATAATGGGGGGGTATTTAATATGAGGGAGTAGGGGGGGTTTAAAATTGGGGGGAAGGGATGATAAAACACCAAGTTTTCAGGCCAACCCTGGCATGTGCACAACGACAGAAGCGATGGTAATGATAACATATGATAACCTGCGGGTGGATGCTCCAGGTGCGAACGGTTTTCGTGGCGAGCCTGCCGCGACCTGAATTTCTGACTCAGCAGGCTTTTCAAAAGGTGGGCTCCTAGTACATCTTGGCACTGCTAGTTGGGAGGAGTTTGACAACTTGATGAAGGTTCTGAAAACTAGTCTGAGCACTGCAGCGGGCTTCGGCATGGGATTGCAGTGTTGCTGAAGTTTCTTTACACATCGAGTGGTGGAATTGGTGGGTACGATGCCGAGGCTACCCGAAAGGTCTT